TTAATTATAATTGTGGTTAAATTGAGCATTTTCATCTTCACTTATGTACTCAACAGCCATGTGCTAAGGTAACCAGCATTGGAATTACAAGATGAAGATGTTACGGTCATCTTACGCAATAACCTAAAAAACAGTCAGGCAGGCAATGTCCATTATAGAGTCATAGACACTATGACAGGTATACAGCAGGACACTACTGGAACACACAGAAGGGACATCTATCCATTTTGTGTCAATATTTAGGCTTTCTGGTGGAAGAGATATATAGGCTGATGCCTGAAGGACAAGGGAAACCTGCCAGGTAGAGGGAAGAAGTGAAGGCAAAGAGCCTGAGGTGAGGAAGAGCTCTGTGGAGTTCTACTCCATCTAGTTTGCTGCTGGAGCAAAGGGCAGAGTGTGGTAAGTGGCAACAGACAAGGTTGAGTAACTTGACAAGAATCACATTGAACTGGGTGGCTTACTCCATGGTGAAAAATTTGGAACTTTTCCTGAGAACGAATGCAATCCAATGACAAAGTAAATAACAGGAGATTTAAAATGTCACCTGTCAAGTGACTGCTTATGAATGGTTTATTGCTTAGCGAGTATTTCTAAACGAGTCTTCAGTCTGTTGGCCTTTAATCTCTACCAAAGCCCTGAGAAGCTGATGATGCCTTTGTTTTCTGAGAATCATTTCAGTGTATTGGCTGAGAGTTCCACGAGGATGGCAAAAGTGAAGAAAGCGAAGAGCCAGTAAAACACAGATGCTTAGACTTATTGGAAGTTTTTAAGCTATGAAACATGATGAACTAATGGTGCATAAGTATACTTTTCACTGTGAAAGTTTTGTTTTCACATCTTTCATCAGATGCGTGTAAGAAAAAAACGCTTAACATCGTATCTACTAACTCCAAAATGAAAAGAAATGCCATTTGCTATTTATGCTTTATTTCTAAAATAAACAATAAATTTTGGCAACACACTTTTCTTTGTTTTTCTAATTATTTGCTCTTCACAATCCAGCTTCATCTAAAATTAAAATAATAATGTTTAAGTTAAAAGCCATTATGAGAATAACACATCACTTACAAAATGTGGCCTTTAGTATTTTTACTGACTAGACATAACTTGAAGTTTGCTTAAATAGAAAAATAATCACATAAATAAAGTAAAATTTCTATTTAAGTTTAGATAATAGAGGATGTATCTGTGTAATGCTATTTAGATTTATCTGACAAAAATACATTTAATATTGGTCTATTGCATATACATAATTTTAGAAATGTGCTGTTTTATTAGTACAAAGTTTAAACAAATAAAGTCACATTTTGCAATGAATGCATTGCTTTGAAATTCTTGGAAAAACTCTGCTAAGTTTATAAAAGTTTAATCTATTTTTTACTTCAATAAATTGTTTTT